TTTGATACTAGTGCAAAATTTCTTGGCAATGTAAATTAAAGTACAATTACAATTTTATATGTAAGTGGAATTATTTTAAAATATAAACTTAGGGGAAAAAATGTCTTTTTGACATTTCAAAATCAGAAATCTTTTTAAAAAAAATAACAGGTGGTATTTTTTCTGGTTAACTCTTATCTGTATGTGAATAATTCTCTTTTTTCAACAGATGTGTGCTTGAGTATACATTTCAAAGTAGTCTGAAAGAACACACTCAGACATTTCTTGGTAAACATTTTTTTTAAATTTTATTTTAATGTATTGCTGAGCTTAAAGGTTAGTTAAAAGATGTTATTTTAAAATTACTTATGGATTATCAGTAGCGAACTTTGGGAATTTTAAAAAGAAGAGTTATTCTGAATGGAATAAAGTTTTAGGTGTCTGTAAATTCAGGTAGAAACCTATTTTTCTAAACTTACTTAATGTTATGGTATCCATGGCAATTCAACCTTAGCTTGCTTTCTTCATCTTCTTGTTATTTCTCGTTGGACCTTCTGCTAACTCTTTTGTGACCTATTTTCATTCTTTACTCTTCTATACCTCTCATACACAGAAAACTTAGCAACATTTCATAGTTCCTAATAGAAGTTTTTCAAGCCTCTATTATGGTATTTAGTGGCAGAAAAATGAACCTTCCACCTACCACAATGATTTAAAGTCTCTGAAACCCTATCCAATGTCTCTGTGAGCAGGAGCCAACTTGATGGTACTTAACAACAACATTAGCGTATTTTAGGAATAAGAAAAATAAGAATTTTACTTTGGAATGACTATTAGAAAGTCTAGTAAATATCTCCTGAATTCACTGCTTGTACTTCAGTTAATAACAAATGACTGTTGTTCCATATTCTGCATGGAAAATTACAGTGTATAACTAATTATTTTACAATCCAAGGTGTTAATTGGCTAGGTTTTGTGGGATTTTGTTACAAAATACTGTGGTCCTCTGACAGTACTGCTTCATCAGTCTCATACTTACTTAGTCTATTCATCTGTGTTAGAATAGTTACAACAAAACCAGGGGTCAAATTATTAATAACACAGACTTTATTTCACTGCCCAAATTGAATCACAAAAATGCTAAAGTAATATGTAGCATATTATAGCTATTTACTCTGAACAAGATATTTTTTAGATATTATCTGATTTTCACAAAAATATATTCAGCATGGGTAGCATTTTTAACCCTAAACTAATTAGCATAGTGGTTACGAATCAGGCTGCTAACCTCAAGGTTGGCAGTTCGAAACTAGCAGCCATTCCACAGGAGAAAGATGAGGCTTTCTGCTCCTGTAAAGATTTACAGTCTCAGAAACCCTGTTCAGGGTCACTATGAGTCAGAACCAACTCCACTGTACTTAACAACAACAACAACAATAATCAGTATTAAAAAAAAAAAAAAAAAAAGTCCTATGGTTTTAAAGTGAGTATATTATTTTAGTTTTAATAATAAAAGAAGAACATGTGGGCCTACAATGGAACCTACAAACACACACCATACTAAGTAGAGAATGGAGCTACTAATCTTCAAAACAATTCTTCTATTCATATTCTAAATTCCAGGGTGCAAATTCAGGGAAGGCTAAGTTAAATTATCTAAAACCCACATATGAATAATACCTTTAAGCACATATAATAAATGTGTTTGTTGAATTATGGTCCAAATGTGGGATTTTTCAGCAGCAGTTATACTTCTTCTTAGCACCTGAAACATGTTACTCTTCCCTTTTTAATATTCTAATCATGGGTACCATTTGAGCTGAAAATTAAAAAGGCTCAGAGTTATTGCTGCTTTAGGGGTTTGTTGTTATTGTTAGGATTATAGTAAGTAGTATTCTTACCATTCTCTGTTTCAGAGTGGAACTGTGAAAATTGGCTTTTGATGTTCAGTATTATTATTTGCTTTCTACTTTGGCAGTTGATCTTAACATCCTGTAGTGTTCTTTCTAACACTGTGGCAGTAGCAAGCATTGTTGTTGTTAAGTGCCATAGAGCCAGTTCCGACCCATAGTAACCCTGTATAGGGTTTCCGAGGAGCAGTTGGTGAGCTTGAACCGCCGACCTTACAGTTCAAATGGCCTTGCAGTCTGGTGCATTAACCCACTGCACCACACCAATAGCAAGCATACTCTCCCAAAAATTTGGCTCCTAATTTAGAGCAAAGAAAACTGGACAGGCTCTGGACAATTCCTCATTTATTTTATTTCATTCTTTTTGCTAGTTTGGATTTCATTCTAAGTCAATTAACTCTAAATAGGCAGAGGTCTCATTATTATGTGATATTAAGAAAGAAAAAGGCAGGCGTTATAAATTATCTTAAGTGAATCTATTAACAAATATAGAATTGGCAAAACAATGCTTTTGAATTTAAAAGATTGAATGTAGTTCTAATTTGAAAAATAAATAAAAATCTGTGACCCTTCACCTACCGCACCTCCCATAACATTGCGTTGCCCTAGGAACCTAGCCTGTTTCAATGCATGTTGTGATGACTTTTCCTGGTTCTTTTAGTTTGAGTTGCTATCATTTAGTATAGGCTAAATGTCATATTCATTTGAGACCATAATGAAGAGAAACCACCTACCCAGTTGGTACTTTTTGAGGCCACAGTACTTGAAAACCATGAAGAGAAGTTTGCATCTTGAAAATATATAAAAATATTTTTTTATGTATGCATTTCATATAAATGTTTGTTTTCAACTGATTTCTTAATTAGCTTAATTATTAAATTTAGAAGTTTCCAAATTACTTAAAGGTAAAGATTAGAAAATACAATAAAATGTAAATTAGTTTTCCTCCAATAGAAACAATAAAAGCAAACATAAAATCTCATTTAATCTATATAACAACCGTATCAGTTAGTGCCCACTTTACAAAGGATGGAATTTAGACTTGAAGATGTTGAGAAGTTTCCTCACACTCTTCCAGATAACATATAAATATTATATGTTATGACATATAAAAATTATATTCAGCTAACATATAAAACTAATTCTAATTAAAAACAAAACCAAAACGGGTTTGGAAAAGGAGTTTCCATTAAGTCAGTTTCTATTTATGTCTACATCTTGTGTGTCAGGCTTGAACTTTGCTAGCAAGATTGTCAATGGCTACTACTTTAGAGTATGTAGATCATGGGGTCTTTCTGCAAAGTCACCCCTGGGTGAATTCAAACCTTCAGCATCTCAGTTATCAACTTAGCATGGAAACCTTTTGCATCACCCATGCACTAACTATTTGCTATATGATTAGTAAATAGGAATGTGCATATTAAATACATGTATGTATTGTACAGAAAGGAGGCCTGGTGGAGCACTGCAGGTTAATATACTGGACCGCAAGGTTGGTTTGATTCGACAAGTTCGCTGTTGGACTATGAGTCAGACCAACACCGACCTTGAGATTCAAACTGACTTTACAGTCCACCACATTAACCCGAAGCACCACACCAAGACTTTTACAATGGCATACACTAAAAACAAAAAATGGCAATAAAATAGATTGTACAGATGAACAACTAAGGATTTCAATGTTTCAAAACTTTAATTATCTTCCTCTCAATACTGTTGATACTTATTCATTGCTGCAGCGTACAATCATGGGACTTCAACGGCCAAAAGACACTAAATCTGAGAAAATCTTATTAGATATAGCTAGAATCCACTTAGATAAGAGTGAAGGAACAACAAACCTTCAGTTTACAAGAAAAGGCTTACTTTTAAAATAACCTACATTTATTGGACTCCTGGTGTTGTCACCTTAGATTCAGCATTTGAATGTGAACCATAGTTTAAACTCACCAGCTGCTCCTAGGAAATCCTACAAAAGGTTGCTATGAGTCAGAATGAACTCCACGCCACTTAACAACAACATCGCAAAAACACGATAGTTTTCTTTGTTGGCTAGTTTTCTAATTACACTGAAATACAGTAAAAGGAAAAATGGCAAAATTGATAATCACTAGTAGGAATACCATCTAAATAGTTCTTGGATCCTATAGGAAGGATGACAATGGATAGAAGCACTGCTCCTCAGAATATCTATCATCCTTTGGATCTCTTCCATTACTTCTGCCACAATTACCAGGCTATCTTCAGGGTTAAACTGCTTTCCTCTAGAACTCTCCAAACACAAACATAACGTTCTAGGTGGATTTCCACCACCTCCAGAAATATGTAGAGAAGTTCATTTATTTTTAACTCATTTTTGAATATACTGGGGTAACAAGAAACTCACAAACAAATCTTAAAAAATAATTTAGAAAACCAAAATGATTCAAATATTTGTTGTTCTGGTCTTAGTTATTTACAAGTTGGCTCTAATTAAAGGTAAGAGGATAGCTACCCAGTTCTGCATCATCTTGGGTCAGGGCATTTCATAGAGAATTTCCTTCATTGTTTTCTGGTCCTCTACTTTATTGTGGTGGTTAAGTACCCTCAAGTCGATTCTAACTCATAATGTACAACAGAAGACAACACTGTCCAATGTTATGCCTTCCTTACAATTGTTGCTTTGCTTGAGGCCATTTTGCAGGCACTGTGTCAATCCATCTCATTAAGTGTCTGCTTTTTCCCTGACGCTCAATTTAACCAAGCATTATCTCTCTCTCTATTATATCTCTCCTGATAATATGTGCAAAATACAAGAGACTAAAGTTTGCCATCCTTGTTTGTAAAGACCATTCTGGCTGCACTTCTTCTTTTTTTTAAAGTCCCAAGCTTTTATTAATTAACAAAGAGGTTATTATTAATGGTAGGAAAAAGAGAATCAATAAAATGGAGAAATTGGATTTATAAGGAGATGCCCATGAGAAAAAGGGAAGAAAACTCTGGACGTTGCCACAGCAAATCTATCTCCAAAAGAGAAGGCAGCAATGAAAGCTGTCTTATTTTCTAGCACTTGTGTGGCCAGTCTTTCAGCTTCTTCATTGCCTTTGATGGCCTCGATGGCCAGGAACATACTTCAACCGAATATCCATGCCTTCGAAGATCAATCTTCTCAAAAGCCTTTCTGTTGACATCTCTTCCAGAGGCTGTTTTGCTTCCATTTTGTTTCCAGTTACTAACCCAGTCTGTCATGCCTTTAATGAAAAATTTGCTATCAGTTTCAATGGTGAGCTTATCTATATTTTGACGCTTTGCTTATTCAATTGAGCTGCCCTCAGTTCTGCTGTTTGGTTTGTCTGTCTTTCAGAAACCCTCTCACTTACATTTAGTAGGTGATTTGGTCCCCAGTAAACTCCATATCCAGTTTGTGCACCACTTCTCCCATTGTTTCTGCCACTACCATCAACGTAAACAGTTGGAATGTATTCTCCTCCAGTATCAAAGTTCTGTCCACTTCATCCCCTGGAGTTCACGTCAGACTTTTGTACCAGATGAACCAGCACCATCCTAGTTCCCTGTGATCTACCTGCACTTCTTCTTCAGAAGAAATTGTTTTTTTCTGTGATCTACCTGCACTTCTTCTTCAGAAGAAATTGTTTTTTTCTTCTGGGAGCTCAGAGTATATTCAGTATTCACCAACACTATATTTCAAAGGCAACATTCTTCTTCAGTCTTCTTAATTCATTGTTAAACTTTATATGCATATGAAGCTATTGAAAATATCATGGCTTGAGCCAGGCACACCTTAGTCCTCAAGGTGAAATCTTTGCTTTTAACACTTTAAAGAAGTCTTTGCTGTAATAAAATATGTGATTTCTTTTTATTTTATTTTTAAACCTCTTATTGTGCGTGGTTACGAATCGGGCTGCGAACCGGAAGGTCAGCAGTTCGAAACAACTAGCCGCTTCATGGGAGAAAGATGAGGCAATCTGCTCCCGTAAAGATTTACAGCCTCGGAAACCCTATTCAGGGTCGCTATGGGTCGAAACCGACTCGACGGCACTTAACAACAACAATTGTGTATTGAGTGATAGTTTACACTAATATCAGTTTTACACTAATCCTATCATATTTCATATCATTGCAGTGATTATAATCCCCTCAATGCATCACTATTCAACAGTATTTGCTTCTTTTCCCTCCGTTGTTTTTTGTTTTGTTTTGTTTTGATATACACAAAAACATCCAGGAATATAAAATCATTTCAACAACTCAAGGACAAATTCTGCAAGCCAGCCTCCTGGCCCCCAGCACACAGCCTTTCTCTTTCCATGAGTCTAGAGTCCTCAGCTGCTCTATCTCTCCATGCCATTAACTCTGCCTCCATCTCTGGTGTCACTGCTTCTCTGGATAGGGTCCCACATTCCGCTCATGCTCTTGTCCCTTAATGGTCCTAAGGTCCTCTGTTCCTGGAATGTAATATTAATGACTCCCCCTTTTATGTTACAAAACTTCTAACTTTACAGTTGCAACAATCACAATTGGTGACTTGCTTTCTTGACTGCTGCTTCCTTAGGTGTTGATTGCTGAGGATCTCAATTTTTATGTGTTCTGTTTCATGTTTGACAGCTTGCAGTTTTTCTAGAGTCATTCTTTGTATTCCATGCTCTAATTACCAATGGATGTTTCCATCTGTTTCTTGTATTTTGACTTGTGCCTAATCATAAAATATAGGTCCCAAAAGCTTTGCTCCATCCATGTCTTTAAAGTCAGCTCTGCTTGAGAAGTCAGCTTGTCTTCAGTGTTTAGGTACCTTTCAACCTGATGGACTGATCTTCTGATCCTACATCAGACAATGTTTTGGTGCTATTTATAAGGTTATCAGGGTTAATCCTTATCAATAGATCATCAACTTCTTTTTCTTAGTCTGTTCTTAGTCTCAAAGCTCTGAGGAAAGCTGTCCACGCTGGGTAAGTCTGCTAGAATTTGTTACACCAGTGGCATAGCTTCCAGCATTACAGCAGCACATACATCACCACAGTATGACAAACTGAGTAATGTATGGGGATTGATAATCATAACAGCAACTTTATCTTATTCCCAATTTGAGGGATTATGGTGTCCTGCTCTGACACTATTGGTTAATGTGCTGGCTTGCAAAGTCGGTTTGAACCACCAGGTTGGCGGTTCAAGCTTACCAGAAGCTCCTCGGAAACCCTATACAAGGTCACTATGGGTCAGAATCAACTTGACCGCACTTAACAACAACAATAAATGCCATCATTCTTGTTAAGTGTTATCAAGTAGGTTCTGACTCATAGCGACCCCATTTTGGATTTCTAAGGAATGGCTGGTGGGTTTAACTGCCGACTTTGCTTTTAGCCAAGCAGCTCGTATATTACAAATTTGCTTATAAATAGACTTCTTTAAAAATTCCCATCTATTTCCAGGAGATTTCAAATAAAATAAAATAAATACTTCTGCATTTATTGGTGTGATTATGTAGTTTTTTCTTTTATTGTTGTTAATGTGGCAGATTTATATTAATACATATTAAGATATAAAATCTAGGTTATATAGCTGCATAAAATCCACTTAATTGTGATATATTATTCTTCTCATGTATGTATGTTCCCATTTGCTTTACTAATATTTATATTTAAGATGTCTATATTTGTTTATAAGTAGGATTAATTTAAAACTTCTCTAGTTTTTCATAATGCTTTAGTCATTGTGTATCAGTTATGAAAAGTGTTGGTACACATTATCCTTTGTTTTATTCTCTGTAAAAGTGTATGTAAGATGGGTGCTATTTCTGATTTGAAATATTAGAAAGCATTCATCATTGAAACTGTTTTCTGTTTTATTACTTTTATTGTTTTAGGACTGAACAAATCAAAAATTTCATTTCTGATTATGTCACTTTTGGAAAAATGTATTTATTTAAATAAATTTCTTTATTTCATAGCACTTGCAAGAATTACTGGCCCAAACTTATTTATAATACCATATTATTATTTTTCCTAGTACAGCATAATATGTACTACTGTCATTCTTGCCATGAACTATTTACATTTTCCTCTTTTGAATCAACCCCATGTAGGAATCTGGTGTGACGCTGTGGGTTAAGGTGTCAGACTGCAAAGCCATTTGAACTGCAAGATCGGGGGTTCAAGCTCACCAGCTGGTCCTTGGAATCCCCATATAGGTTCTCTATGGGTCAGAACCGACTCAACGGCACTTAACAACAACAACAGTATCCATTTTTTGTTTTTTTGTCTGTGAGCTAACTTGTACATTGCTGATCTTTTTAATATATGTTTTATTTATTATTTTTTCTTCTAATTTAATTTTTAACTTACTTTTCTGTTATTTTTCTAAGTCATTTACATGCGATCTTAATTTTTCAAACTTTCTGATTTTAACATATAAATTCGATGATATAAATGTACTTCTATGAATTACTTGGACTCTTAGTGTGGCTATGTAGGATCAGCACTGAACTGCAAACCACAATGTTGGTGTTTCAAAGCCACAAATTGCTCCTTGGAAACCTTATACATGGTTGCTATGAGTTGGAACTGACTCGAAGGCACTTAACAACATCAGTGACTGGGTTGATAAAATTTTAATGTGTTTTATCTACATTATAATATGTTGTTGTTGTTATTAAGTGCAGTCTAGTAGTTTCCAACTCATAGCAATCCTGTATAGGTAAGTTTTCAAGGCAGTGGCTAGTGAATTTGACTCTAGTATAGGTCAAAATATTTTCTAATTTATTTTTTAACTTATATCTGATTGACCGATGTCTATGCTACTTAATTAAGAAGTAGGTACCTGTCTGTTTTTTGTTATGATTGTTAATGTTATTCTTATCATTTTAATAATTTATAGTTTAATTATGTTGTCATAAAATATACTCTGTTGTAGTTGTTAGTCATCAAGTCAGTTCCAATTCATAGTGACACTTTGCACAACCAAATGAAACACTGCCAAGTCCTATCCAATCCTCACAATAGCTATTATGTGAGAGCTCATTGTTGCTGCCATCATGTCAATACATCTTGTTGAGGGACTTCCTTTTTTCAGTGACCTTCCACTTTACCAAGCATGAGGTTCTTCTGCAGGCTCTGGTCCCTCCTGACAACATGTACAAAGTAAAGAAACAAAGTTTTGCCATTTTTCTTCTAAGGGGCATTCTTCTCCAACACCATAATTTAAATGCATGAATTCTTCTCCAGTCTTCCTTATTAATAGTCCAGCATTCACATGCATTTGCAGTCATTGAAAATACCATGACTTGGCTCAGGCCCACATTAGTCTTCAAAATGACATCTTTGATCTTTAATACTTTAAAGAGTCCTTGTGCAACATATTTTCCTAGTGGAACATGTTATTTTATTTCAGGATACTTGCTTCCATGAGCACTGATTATGGATCCAAGCAAAGTGAAATATTTGACAACTTCATTCTTTTCTCCATTTATTATGATATTTATTGATCCAATGAAGAACTTTATTTTCTTTACATTGAGGTGTATTCCACACTGAGGATTGTAGTCTTTGATTTTCAACAGTAAGTATTTGAAGTCCTCTTCATTCAAGCAAGCGAAGTTGTGTCATTTGTATATTGCAGGTTGTTAGTCTTCCTCCAATCTTAATGCCATCTTCTTTTTCATATACTCCAGTTTCTCATATTATTTGCTCAGCATACCAACTGAATAAGTATGATGAAAGGATACAACCATGATGCAAACATTTTCCGATGTCAAACCATTCAGTATCCCTTGTTCCATTTGAATGACTCACTTGGTCTATAAGTAGGTTCCTCATGAGCACAATTTAGTGTTCTGAAATTCTCTTTTTTTCCAATGTAATCCAGAATTCATTATGCTCCACACAGTTGAATGGCTTTGTATAGTAAATAAGCAATGGTAAACTTCTTCCTGGCTTTCTCTGATTTCAATCAAGAATCACCTGACATCAGCAGTGATATCCCTCATTCAATTTCCTCTTTTAAATCCAGCTTGGATTTCTAGAAGCTTACTGTTGATGTATTTCTTTAATTTATTTTTAGTTATCTTCAGAAAAATTTTTATTTGCATGTGATATTAATGGTATTGTTCAATGATTTCCACATTCCATTGGATCAACTTTTCTAGGAATGCACGCAGTGTGGCTCTCTTGCAATCCATGAGCCAGTAGTTATTTTTCAAATTTCTTGGTATAGACAAATGAGCTTCTTCAGGGATA